CCCAATGTCTTAAGAGAACCGATATATTGGGCTGTGCAAACTCAATCAAACCTGAACCAAACCGAAGCCGGTCCTGTCCTATCCCTCGATCACGTCCACAGCGCCAGCCAGCGTACAGTTATACCACGTAAGACTACGATGTAAATACGGATTTTGCGACAGAGCCGTGCTTGGAATGTCAATTCAACTGAACAGTGAGTACTTTTTCTTTTATTTTTTTACTTGTTCGCTAATGTTTCACCACACATTAGCTTTGGTATATCAGGCGTGGTTGTGTCTGAAAAGGAAAACCCCAACTTTGCGGACCCCCTGTATGATTTAAAAAGATGGTGGTATCATCATTAAAAAAATGGTGAATGCTTTTATTACTTGATCACCAGGAGACGAAAAACTGTTAAAGATAGAATAAGTTGCATCGGATTTGAGCTAATGTTATTCTGACGCAGTCAAGCAATAATTTTGAAAAGACAGATCAAGCAATAAATACGTGTGTGTGGTGTCTTCTGGGGGCGTTTTCCTCGAGACACCATCATTTAGTTTGAAAAAGTAGCTTTTGTAGAAGCATGTTTTTATGGATTACATACAAATATTAGGGGAAGGTGGTACAAAATGATCCCCTTAAGGGAAAACGGCTGAGAAACGACTGTATCCAGCTTTTGATAAAAGTTAAAATATTTAAAGCGTAGCTATGCAATCGAACTACAAATTTAGTAACCTTTGAATCGCGTAAGCCATTAGGAATAATTTTTATTAATTTTTCCGTGAAGCTCTACCAAAGGATCATTTTGTACACCCCTGTGTCCAAAATGATCCCCGAGATGCGGGTAAAATGATCCGGGGGATCATTTTACCCCACTATACAAAATTCATGTAAGAACTAAAAGAATCAATAATACTTTTACAAGTTTTATTGCAGATTCAGTATCAAAATGAATTAATAAAACACATATTTATAAAAAGAAACTTTTATTTAGAGGCCAGTAGAAACGAAAAGGAATCTTGAAATATACATTAGAACATTAATATGTACATGGATATATGTTCATATCATAAGAATGTATATAATATCAACTTTTACAGTCTTAATTGTTTCCGAGCAGAAGTGAAACGATCATCGGCATCGACACAAAAATCACATGTGAACTCGTCAGCGTCATCGGGATCAACGCCAGCGCAAGCTTCGTGGCCCCATCTTAAGCAAGCACAACATTTGATCCATCCTTCACCTCTATTATTATTGGAAAACCTCTCATTACAAAACAAACACTCAGCATCACTTTCGTCCTCTGAAGATGACTCACTTTTGCCTCTTTTAGGTTTTAGACGTTTGTATTTTTCGGTCACATTTTCTTTTGCTTTTCTTATTCCTTTTTCCTCATTTGATTTAGAATTTCCCTTGATTGAGTTCTTTTTATTTTCGTTGCGTTTATTTTTTTTGCGTTCTTTTTCATTTTTTTTATTAACTTCCTCTTCTAAGTAATTTTTATAAGGCGAACTTGTAAGGATTGCTGTACATACTCGAGCTTTGATATTTTTTCTACGTTCTTCTGCCATTTTAGGGAAAGGTCGAATCTGGCATGGAGGGATGCTAAAAGATGTGGACGCAACTGGTGATGCAAATGAATCTTTATCCGAAGTGTCATAAGACGCCGATTGAGCAGCAGCTGCAAGAGATGGTGTATTCGTAGTTATGGATGAGGTAGAAGGCGAAACATTATCGTAGACGGAAGATACTTCAACTGATGTCCACGGTAATGGAATGGCGGCTGAACTTCTCAAGCTGTTAGAAATACTTTCGTTGGAAGCCAGAATAGTAGTAGGTGCTTCAGCTACACGGTATTCGTTATTCTCTCCTTGCTTGTGGGCTGCACATGTCGATAAGGTACAAGGTGACACAGCAGTAAGGTTGGATGGTTCATCAACTAGTACACATGTCGTAGAATCGGCTGGAAGTACAGGAGCCCTGGGTATAAGTTGTCGCGGTTTATGGTCACCAAAAACTTGAATTTCATCAGGCGCTATATTTATAGATGGATAGGGCACCAATATTTCGTTACTTACTGCTTGATCAGTTGTGGTGGCAGCAACGAAGTCTACATCAGTAAAAACATCAGGATTGAGCGCCCATATTCCACACTTTTCAAATCCTTTGATAATATTTGAGGGTGCAGCAGCTTTCAAATATGCTTCTCCAAAGATTTTACCTATTTGAAAAACTGTTACTACACGACCCGCATTATTATTCATCCACCTTTCTAAAGCCTGGTTGTGATACACGCTCAGTGGAAACATTACACCAACATCGAGTGGTTGAAGTTTGTGCGTGCAGTGTGGGGGTAAGCACAAAATTGTTACGTTATTTTCTCTGGCTTTTATTATGACGTCCAAATTTCTGGTATGAGAAAGATGGCCGTCCAGTATTAGAAGTATGGGATCTTCTGTAGATGGTTTAGTATGGGACAAGAAATGGTCAAACCACTGAGAGAAAACCTCAATATTCATCCAGCCGGAGGGATTGCACGCGTACACAGAGCATGGTGGAGTACCGTCCATTAATTCTATTTTCATTCGCAATCGGCGAAATATTAGCATTGGTGGTATGAAGTTTCCTCCAGCTGATCCGCAAATAACCGCTGTAGTTGATTCACCTCTTTCGGCAGACGTGATTCTCGCTACTTGTTTGCGCCCTTTTTTGGCAAAGATTTTACTATTTTTGGTCGGAACGGTGTTCAAACTAGTCTCATCAACGTTAAAAATGCGATGAGGAGGAAATACATGCTTTTCCTGAGCTTTTTGTAAATTTTTGTAAAATTTGTCAATAATCGGTTTATTGAATGCTCGAGCTCGTGCCGCTGACGTTGACTCCGGGGCACGTAGAGTGATATCAGGATGTCTTTGTCGTAACCCCCTTAGCCAGTCTTTACCAGCTTTACGGGACGTAGTAGAAAATGGATGCCTTATTTTGTTTCTTTCAGCTATCTCAAAAGCAAATTTACGAACGTCATCAACTGTAAAACCGTACATAGTCTCTTCATTGTCTTTAATATGTTGCACTAGCTCCAGCTCCTGTTCATCCGTGAATACTTTCTTGATACTTCCCAACATTTTGGTGCCCCCCACAGCGTAAACGTTCTTTCCTTTAACTCTTCTTTTAAGTGCCATAAGTGGGACTAAAAATTGTTTGGAGGCGGCTTTATATGGCATACCCTGTTTTACGGCTTCTATGGCTTTAATCATAGCTTGTTCATCCCAGTTCTGACGTGTTGTTTTCCGGATGTAATTTCGCGGCATGATTTCTGAAAGTAAAACGGCATTAATGGCTACCGCATATTTTAAGCAACAAAATAAAGATAAATTGAATAGTATCACAAGGTTATATATTGTGAAAACTTATGACTATTGCATTATTGAAGTCGTTTTTTTATATGCATACTAGTTACTATTGGGTGATAATATAAAAAAAAACATATCTATTGGAAGTAGGTAGACGGGGTAAAATGATCCTAGGAATCATTTTGCCCACCCCGTATAGGGATCGTTTTGCCCCAAATGCGTCATTAACGAAAACATCAGAACATAACCTTTGTTTCTCGAATATTGTAATGAATGATGGTTAATTCTATAGTTAATTAGTACCAGAAACTGATACAAACACACCAACCACATAATATATACATAGAGTAAAGCACCATAATGTCAAATGATGGCTTACCTTAGATTGAGAGCACTGATTTTAAATATTTCGTGATAAAATCTTCACCATTGCCTGTGACGCCACGATACTGACTGAGATTGCACAGCTTAACCATAGGAGCGTGTAGCTTATTAAAAGCATCCTAGATGACGCTATAAACTCAGTAAAATAGCCGGGGATCGTTTTACCTTCATCGATCATTTTGTACCACTTTCCCCTACACAAATTATGAATCTCGCTAGGAATGTTTAGGTAATAAGCTCATATCTCATTTTAACAAAGTATATTTTTAATGTTCAATAAGCCAGGGGGGATCTGGAGTTGCGAGCTTTGTATATCGACAATATGTTTCCGTGCAAGGATGTGGGATAAATTTGATAAAACATGTGTCTCTCTATGCCGTTTTCCAAATGCTAGAATTAATAAATATGTGAAATACATATTTGTCACATATTTTATAAAATAAATCTTGCTTTTCACACCTAGAGAATAGGTGAAGCGCTTGCATCATGCATGATTTATTCTAGTGGATCTATGTTACTCCAATTATAGCAGAAACACAGTTTCTCCACTTTAACACTCCTTCAAAGAGAACTGGTGTTCTTCTTTCTAGGCAAATAAAGAATTTGCATCCCGATATAAAAGTCTTTGTTTAATCATGATTTACTTCCTAATCTAGGTAAATTTAAACTAAACTGAGTTACATCTGTCTAGGGATTCTTCTGAAGTTTTGAGCGAGACAAATTCCTTAAGCTGCAAACGTGATTGAATTTTTCAGGAACCTCATGATAAATTCCCTTTACATGGGAAGTAAAGAGCGATGTTACTTCCCTCTTGTCCTATTGGAAACGGGTTCATTTATATCAATCGATCGGAGTATATCCTAAATTTCGGCAACGAGTGTTGCGTAGGTAAGTGTACCGCTGTCCTGCGTGCGTCGAGTGTGGAAATAGTCCAGTCAAAATAGGTAGCTTGCGGATCTCTTTTGGAAAGGTCTGGATTTTGGATTTTGGTAGTTAACATGATGAAATTAGACGAAGTCCAGCTTCTAGTTGTAACATGGTTTATTTGCATTTTGAATTGGCTTTGAGTTTTCTGTTCTTTCGTATTTTATCGTATGTACCTATCTTGAATCAGGGGCGGCTGGAGGGTAGTGTAAGACAATGGATGTGGTTTACAGACTTATCAGCGTGAAACGATTCTGGAAATACACATTTGAAGAAAAAATTGAGCTGAAGGTGTCAGGTCGACCGCTGCCGAACATATTTATAGAAACACAGGGCGTTAGTCGGGGCAAGGGCTATACGCGGCATTTCAGCAGGGAGATTTTCACCAGAAATGACTGGATTTGTGGGTGCAACAGGAAGAATGCCCTTTTCTGCTTTCCTTGCATACTTTTCGGCGGTGACAAAGCTTGGACGGAGGTAGGTGTTACAGATTTAGTGCACCTGAGTGAAAAAATTAAGAAGCATGAAAACTCTGAAACACATCTTCATAATTCGATGGAATTGGCTTTATTGGGGATTGATAACATCAGAGCTCAGTTAGATTTAGCATATTGGAGAAATATACAACAGCATAATGATACCGTTACAAAAAGCAGGTACGTTCTACCAAAATAATCGATTGTTAAAATTTTGCGGCGTATTTGAATTGGCGCTAGGGGGCCACGACGAAACCGAGAGCTCCCAAAACCCGGGAATATTTCGTGGACTGATTAATTTTTCTGCTGAGCTTGATACAACCTTAAGCGAACACATAAAAAATGCTTATATTTTTAGAGGAACTTCGAAAGAAATATAAAACGATTTACTGGATTGTATTCTTGAAGTTTATCATGAAGAAATAATAAAACAGATTAACCGATCTTCGTATTTGGCGATAATAGCAGATGAAACAACGGACATTTCGGGGAAAACCCAACTGATACTCTCACAAAACATATTTTGAGCGTCGTAGATCCATTAATAGGAGTTTTCCCTAACAAACCGATTTCATATAATGCTGGAGTACAGGAGAAAATTAAACAAAGATATCCATTAGCTCACTATGTGCATTGCTATGCGCATCAGTTAAACCTGTTTATGTCCCAAGGTGCTTCCGCAAATGCTCAAGTTCGGGTGTTCTTTGGGGATTTGAAAGATATTCCAGGATTTTTTCATAATTCTCCTCAACGCGTAGAGGTTCCGAACAGAATTGTGGGGAAAAAAATTCCCCAAGGAGCAACAACTCGTTGGAATTTTAATATTCGAACAGTAAATGTGTTTGAGAACAGAGAATCACTAATTGAATACATGGAAGAAATAGAAGAAAATTCCACTAATGAAACCATTTGAAAGGCAGCTTGCGGTATTCGCCATATGTTAAACGATTCTGTTTTCGTGTTTTGGTTGACATTTTTTCATCATGTTATGCCTCACATCGACATCTTGTTCAACCAGTTGTAGAAGAGAAAAACCGAGCCAGCGCAAGTAAAACGGCTATCGATAATTTTGAAAAATGTATTGTCGATGTGAGAAATAAAATTGATGACATAAATGAAGCCAAAAGTATTTGCACTGAACCCCAAGGAAACAAAAGGAGATATAATAGCAGTCACGATGACCGAGTTGCTGCATTAGAAGTATGCGACAATATAGTATATTCTGCAAGTGACAGATTTCAATTCAAAGATCATTTGGTAGCCACATCCCTTTTTTCCCCCCTGAACACTTTGGAGAATACTATGGTAAGTTTCCTGATGACAAGTTGGAATCTACCTGCTTGGCTTATCCCGAATTAGAAAAAAGTCGTTTAAAGACAGAGCTGTCTGTTATTTATGCACGGAATGATTGCCGAGATTTACATGGAACTCTGTCTCTTTTGAAATTTTTTATAAAAAATAGTTTGTAGGAAATACTAAAAGATACAAAAAAGCTATTAGAAATTATTGTTACAACTCTTATGTCAACATCAGAGGCTGAGCGAAATTTCTCAACGTTGAAAAGAATCAAGACCTTTCTTCGAAATACTATGACCTAGGATTTCAACGGGAAGGTGATCGACAAATTTGCTGCCAAGTAGGAGCGCAGGATCGAACTGACATATAAAAAATAAGTAAGTTCGGATTTGCAGAACACCTGTTTTATTTTGCCGCGAGCCGCCACTGTCTTGAATCTTGATTTCGTTTTGTTGTTACAAGGAAACTCAGTTTCTATAAGACTGCATATTTCTTTTGTCAAATGAATACAATATTCAAGCTGAATACGAACTACTTCGAGTTATCTTCAGAGCTCAGAAATTCGTTGTTGGAATTTGCATTTCATGTGTGAATCTATTAATATCATATCATTTATGTCAATATTCGACACGACTAATTGAAGTTATCAAGTATTTAACCTTCAAAATAAATTTCCGATCTGAGCGTGTGAAGTACGGTCACTGCCCCCATCACCTTCGTCTCGAATAATGATCGGCTGCCAAACAAATTTAAGCAATTCATGTGGATTTAATTCGATAATTTTTCCAAAATAGTGTTTTAGCTAAAGTTACAAATGCTCATTATTTGTATGCAGACATAATTTATAGTGTCCCACAGCAATCGATTGTTGGAAAAGTGTCCTTCCAAAAATTTTAAACCGAATGGACAACGTTACAAGAGTTATAGTGTTTTTCAGAAATCCCCCCAACTTGTTTCTTGAACGAGATAAGATAGTAAGCTGAAATATTTGGGTGATGAAAGTGATGCAGTATATTCCAGCATGAAAGTGGCAACCAGTCATCAAAATGCTATAGTATACCAATATTGTTCTGAAAAGTGTTCCATAATTGCACCTTGCTGCCGTCTTGAAATCTTCAGCTGTCACCTTGACGTTAAAATATAGCGTTCGTACGAGTACATACTTTTATCAAGCACCAAAAATTTCAGCTTGCTATGTTAACCCGACCAAAAAATAACTGAGGGAGATCTTTTTCAAGTCGGATGCATTGCTGTTCCTAAAAAAAATATCAAGTTGGCTGAGTTTTCATTTCTTACGCAACGTCGTTTTCAGTTCATAAATGATTAAGTTCAGCCCACCGAGAAAAAAATTAGTTACGAACATGTACAATAGAAGAATAAACGGATCAAGTCAGTCAAACATGCCCATACAATTAGATCATAGACATTCTTTCCCTGCCCCACCGGTAGTTACCGTTCATCTGACAACGTTGCCCATTCCCATATCGTCAGACATGGCAGCTCCCACTGATGCACCACTGTACAATCAAGTTTTAAAGACAAATGTACGGGGAAGCCTATGATGTGTTAACCTCCGCGGTCTGGGGGTACGCTGCCCCCAGCTTCCACAAGCGACTTGCTGCTCTAGAGATGAAGCTACTCCGGATCGCCACCAGTGCACCATCCTACGTAAGAAACTCAACCTTGCGTAGAGACCTGCATTGGGACACTATCCACGAGTACATGAGGAAAAAAGCGGAGAAGACCTTCGAGAAAGCTCAAGACCACCCGAACGAGCAGCTACGATTCCTCATGGACTACGATCCGGACGAGGGGCCTCGCAACCGCAGAACCAGGTACCCCAGACCAAGGTCCCAGTTGGCACCCGCTAACTGGAACCTTGACTAGGAGACTAGGAGAACTCGCGGTTGCTCCCCCCCCCCCCACGGCGTGGATGCAGAGGACCAGGAACCACCGGGACCAGGACCAACCAGGACCAGGACCCGCCACGACCAGGACCCTTCAGGACCAGGACCAGGAACAACATATTGGTAAGAGGACTTGAAACTCTTGATTTTTCGAAAACAAGAGTTTCAAGAGAACCTAACAGACCCTCTATCGATGATCGCTTAACGACATCGATAGAATGTGCGAGGTAAAGGGAACCAACCCGGCGTTCCCAGAGACTGAAACACATGAGGAGACGTTGTAGCAGACCGCAGGTCACGCACAACACATGGCCTACCGAGACGCTGATGAGTCGGGCCACGCGGAGGTTTAGGGTTTAGTGGGTATTAGGTGATCTCCTCAAGACCCTGGAGTCCCACACACGCCGTAGCTCGGGCTATGGTATGGTGCGTAAATGCATTCCCCTCTCATCAAAAAAAAAAAAAAAAGATGTGTTAAATATGGCTATTAGGTGCGTAGAATTACTGGGGTTCGGAGAGTATAAATTTACCAACGAAAAAAATTGGGGTCCTCTTACAAACCCCACCCCCTAAATGATCAGGTTCCTCTGAAACATCAAAAAACGACGTCTGATCGATTTTTTATGTTTTTCATTTTTGGCCTTTTTCTCCGCTGCCACTAGACCCATTTTCAAAAACTACCAAGTTTCTTTGACCTTGGCCTAGTGGTAACCCTGTGCAAAAATTTCATCCAAAACGAAGCCGTGGGAAGTAAAACCATCATTTTCCCCGTTGAGATGGAAGCACCTTCCATTATTTGTTCTACTGTGCTAAAAGCCGACGTCGCCGCTCGCCGCAGGCGTCGCGCGTCAACGGAGGCGTTCACCATCGCAAGTGTAGCGTCGCGGCGCCCGTTTCCCTCAGTTCCGACGCGGCCGTCGAGACGAGTTCGAACTCTCTCCGCGGATCTGGAGTATGCCGGGTGCTGGAAAATAGAGACGCGCGATACGAACGTGCGAACACGTGATCCAGGTGCGAGGAGTGGGAGAGTTACAACGACTCCTTTGCTTTGGTATGTTGCTTTATTTGATTTTTTCTTCGGGTTGGTCTGGCCTTGTGGATTTTATATTATTAGACCGCAACAAACTGGTTCTTGCTAGATCATGTAAAACAGCGGAAACGAGTATTTTGATGGCTCACTCACGGCCTAGACACATATAGGATTTCATATCTTCTTTGAGGCTGTGCTATTTCAATCAAGAAATTTCCGTTTTAAGACACACTTTGTTTTAAAAAATATTCCAGTTAAACTATATTCTGATGAGGGCTCACGCACTCTCCGAGCAATGGCTGTGTTTAAGAGCTAGACATTTGAAGAGATAGAGACGATTCATAGCATATTAGGTACGGTAACAGCAACCTCGCAGCTATTATTTTTTATACATATTTTGAGCTGAGCTGAAAACAATTGAAAAATTGAGCATACTGAAATATATTAAATTTGTATATTGCACACATTTCGACTCGCCTGGCAGGTAGCGTCGTAATCGGTTAGACATTATGTTTTTCTACCTTTTAGTGCATATCAACTATGAAATTCATTTCGCAATCTTTTACAAAAAATACAAAGTAGGTTGACTCTAAACGTACATAAGTATTGAGTTAATCTACTTGACGAAATATTCAGAGGCCCATAATAGACGGAGTAGTGCCACTTACAGGTTAGACGAAATTGGTAGTACATTTAAGGATCATAAAAGTTAGAAAAATATATGTGTAGATATAGAAACAGTCAAGTCAACATTTACAAAAATATCGCAGATCGCTAAAGTTGTACGTACTACGATAATATCAAAATGCTGCTAAAATATATAAGTATTTCTAATATGTCAGTGACGACATCACCGCAGACCAGCTGTAGTTGCTTAGTCGGCAGCGATTGCCAAGCTATTTCGATTTATGAGCACATTATAAATCGTGCTTCTATTATCTAATTTTCCGCTTATTATCTGGATTAGAATGTATACTAAGTGACATATAAATCCGAACACCCAGTTTAAATGGTTTTATTTTAATAAAATTTTGTATAAGTACTTAATGAAGCATAATAAGTAAATGATAAAAATTTCAAAATGATTGCACTGCTTTAAAGCCCTTTGACCTTTAATAATGTGTGGATGCACCCTGATGTGCTACGCATTCTCCAACGCGCCTAGGCATGCTTCTGATCAGGTGGTCAATGTCCTCCTGTGGTATCTCATTCCAGGCAACCACCAACTCCTCTCGAAGTGCTTATAGAGTCTGAGGAGGACGTTGCAAATTGAGCAACCTCCTACCCATCATATCCCACACGTGCTCAATTGGGGATAAGTCGTGAGATCTTGGTGGCCATGGTAACAATGTGACATCATTATGTTGAAAGAAGTCTATTGTGACTCGTGCAACATGTGGTCGGGCATTATCTTGTTGTAAAGTTGAATCAGGGTGTCAAGATAGGGTAAAAGATGGGGTTCTAGAACTTCGTGGATATAACGCTGCGCGTTCATGTCACCTCTGATGAAGATTAGAGGTGACCTGGAACCATAAGCTATAGTACCCCAAACCATAACTCCAACAGTGTGATGAACATGTCTTTCAACAAAAAACTGTGGATTCCTCCTTTCACCACGTCGCCTTCTAACCCTGCCACGACCATCGTGCATGTCTAAACAAAATCGAGACTCGTCACTAAAGACAATACTGTTCCATTCCTGATCCCAGAGTGACCGTTGTCTGCACCATTCAAGGCGATTACGTCGGTGTTCTCGAGTTAAAGGGAGGACCCAGTGTGGCCGGTATGAAAACAAGCCAAAACTTCTCATTCGTCGGTAAACTCTTCGCATGCCAATAGGTCTTCCGTGTTCTGCAAACCATTCATTTGCAATGGACCTGGTAGTGGAGAAACGGTCCCAAGAACCAAAATCCGCCAACGTTGATTCTTTACTGCGGCTGAAATATTCATTTTTAGAGCGTTGGTGAATTAAAAAAAAGCAGTATAAAAACGGAAAGTCCAACTGATAAGGCTGAAAATTTTTTCACTTGTTATTTACAGTAAGATAAATACATTCACCAACTTTTGTTAAAATAAAACCATTTAAACTGGGTGTTCGGATTTATATGTCACTTAGTATATTATAATACTCAAAACAATACCCTGTACTGCCTTTCGTGAAACTGCTAAAAAATTCATGACTTTTTTGTTGTACTGATAAAGTATTTTATGTAGACCGTATAGCCGAAGGCGTACT